AGGTCAGGGCCTTTGTATTTACTTTCTCCATCCTGTCATGTTCTTGTAGGGAATTTTTAGCAGCAGAAGTACATTCCATGTAAGGGCCATAAAACGTGCAACTATTTGCCTTTTGAAATAGTGCTGGTTTCCTAATCTCCACGAGGTTTTGAGTCGGCCTAACTTCTTAGTAGGAGGGATGATCTAATGGGTCAGTTTCTGCAGGAGAAGACTTTACCAACTTCCTAGACGGAGCTGGGTGTGTGAGTCAACCAAGGGGCCATCTTTTCTGGGAAAGAATCACACTGAGAAACGAGAGAACAATAGTTCCCAGGCCTGGAGATGACATTGTGTCAGATTCAAGAGCCAAGACACAAAATCTGAAATGATGCCTGAGGCCCACAGATTGGGTGGGAATTATCTACTAGAACACAGAAATCCCTCAGTCCAAGTTTGTTGAATTTAATTGAACCCTGTAAGCAGTATCCTGTATGCTTATAATTCCTAGTTTTCTTTATAAAGTTAAATGAAGAGTACTAACATATGCTCATAGGAAAAATAGAACAAATGGTTGTGAAGCAAATTATTTAAATACAACACCTATGAAGCCAAACAAAGCCTTTCATATAATGTTAAAGAGTCCAAAAGCACTAATGTGGTATTTGTCGTATTAAGTTAAGATGAGGAAACCAAGGCAAAGAGAGGTTAAGTAACTTCTCAATGTTCAAAAGTTAGTTATTGGCAATTGGAATTCAAACTTAGCAGACTGGTTCCAGAATCTCAGTTTCTAACTGTTAAACAGACTATATCTGAGGTCAAAAAGCAAGTTTTATACCTCCTAAATCTTCTTCTGTTATTTTATTTAATCTTTTGAAAGGAATTTGACCAAATCTTGGAAACTCAAATGCTCTCTAGAATACTACCCTTTGTCATCCTAATGGGGGAGAATTTTTATCCACTCATTTCAGATACCCACGCTTCAAGAATAAAAGGTTACTTGTGCCTCTATCATATTTAACAGACCCAGTAAAATGCCATAGCCTTTGGGAATGTAGATTTTTTAACTGGGTGAAACAGAAAGAATGTTGTGTACAGAAAATTAACAACTGTGTTCTGTATTCCCTTGCCCTTGCTGTAGCATCAGAGCAAGTGATTTCAGTTTGCTTCAGGCATAACTCTTCTAAGACTGCTCACAAAATCCACCCAGTATAATCCAACATATTCCCAAACACCATTTAAATAAGGCATATATTTGACTTTAAAATAAAAATTTCAGTGTAATTGATGAGAAGCATTATTGTATAAAAAATAACTATTTATTATGGTACTCATGAAAAATGGCTTAAGCTTGTTCATTTATTTGCTCAGTAAACATTTTCAATAAACATCTCTCTATAAACATTGTATGATGCTAAATATAAGAAGCAAAAAATAAATAAATAAAATAAGATCTTACCAAAAATGTAAAATTTCTCTGGAGTAAAATCTATTAGAAAAGTCAAAAGAGGACTTCCCTGGTGGCGCAGTAGTTAAGAATCCACCTGCCAATGCAGGGGACACGGGTTTGAGCCCTGATCCGGGAGGATCCCACATGCCGCAGAGCAACTAAGCCCATAACTACTGAGCCTGCGCTCTAGAGCCCACGAGCCACAACTACTGAGCCTGCATGCCACAACTACTGAATCCCGTGCACCTAGAGCCCATGCTCTGCAACAAGAGAAGCCACTGCAATGAGAATCCCACACACTGCAACGTAGAGTAGCCCCCGTTCGCTGCAACTACAGAGAAAGCCCGTGCGCAGCAATGAAGACCCAATGCGGCCAAAAATAAATAAATTTTTTAAAAAGTCAAAAGAAAAAGAACAGAGTAAGAAAAATTATTTGAGACATTTAGGGTTGGATAATAGCTAACTTTCATCATATAAAAATGTTTTTATAAATCAATAAGAAAAAAGTTATGGAATGCAATAAAAACATCAATGATTTCAACAAGCAATTCACAGGCAAAAAACACAAATAATCAATGTACGAAAATATGTTATCCTCAACCTCACTTGTAATGAAGGACCTGGAAATATATACAAGACCCCATTATCCTCCATAAAATCAGCAAAAACATTTATTAGTTTTCCACTTCCCAAAGTTGGTAAGAGAGAAGGAAGCAGACACTCTCGCACATTACTGGTAGAATTGTGAAACACTGCAACATCTAGAGAAAAATAGCCTTTGTCTGTGACTTTGGGACAAATAAATGCTGGATGAGTCAAAAATGTAAATCCATTCTCACAGATGCCACCCTTGTATATATAGTTTGATCTACTTTTGTAAATAGTGACCAAATGAACTCTTAAGAGTCAGACTAACTTCTGACTTTTAGATTCAGTGCTTTAACCAGAGGCAAAATTGGGAACTCCAATCTTGGTGTCTTACCTTGGACGGTTCCAGGTTAAAGTCTTGCAAAGTTCTCATCCTCATGAATTATGCGGGATGAGAAAGACTCCTCCCTCTATTGCACCCTTACGAGATTATAATACACTATAATATACTATAAACATAATTTTTATATGCACTGGGAGACCTAAGAATTTGTGTGATTCACTTTATTGTGATATTGGCTTTGTCGCAGTGGTCTGACACCAAACCCAAAATCTCTCTGAGGTATGCCTGTGTTTAGGATGCACTAAGTATCATAGGAGCATTGCCAATCCATGTTCTTTTTCTCATGGTTTCCCCAACCTCTTTATCATTCCCAGCCTACGATCCCACTCAAACTTTCTCCTTTACTATTTTATGGCAAAAGTTTCTTCTTTTGACTGCATAACAGTAAGAACGTATATTATTTTCGGCCAGCCATCCTTACATGGATCTATCTTTTTGTTTTATACAATAGTTTCCTACCTAAGTAATGTTTTAAAAATGAAACTTGGCGTGCAGCATTGGGATAACCACCTCATACTATTTCGCTGCCCCTGCGGTGGTTTTCCATGGTTTAATGCGCAGCAGATGTCACACAAATATATCTTCATTGGTTGAATGATAGTTGGAGCTTCCCTTAACAGAAAGGAGAATGATGAAGACAGATGGTAGGTTGAGATTTAGTTGAAGGTTCCAAAATTAAAACAAATGTCACCAGAGACAACTTCTAACAGGGTTTGCCATCTAATCATTATAGGTTAGCTCTTCTGTTCATCAGCCGCAAACCTCAAGGTCTATCCCTTCTCGTAGACTTCACCACCAGGTTCATGAATCTCCTCTCCATCCCCCACCCCCTACCATGGTCATCACCCTCAGGACCTTCGACATCTATGCTGACCACTCCCCATAGTGAGTACCCTTACCGACTTCACCCTAGCAATCTTCCATTCTCCACTGTATTGCTACTAGATGTTATCACACCAACATCTTCCATAACTAAGAATAACTTGGTAGTTGTTATGTAATAATATGAAAAATACAGTTAGCCAAACTTGCTAAAATCTCTATTTGGGAACTTACTAGCTAAGTAACACCAAACAAGAGAGGTAACTCTTGAGAAACAGTTCTCCCTGGCATTTCTGCACGTCTTATATCAAGTTTTCTTCTGCACTATCTCTTCAAGGATGTCAGTATAGCAAACAGTCTTGGAAGACACAAAGAGTGTCTCCCTCCGGGGTGGAAGACAGATTTGTTTCCTGACCAGGATAATAAAGATAATGTCTCCTTCTGGGGCAAATGTTGGGCAGTTGTGTCAGCAGCCTCTTATAAGACTGGAGGTTTCCTCAGAAGGTACAAAACCCCACTGGGTGTAGCGTTCAGTGGGGCGACTCCACATCGCCCCAGTGGGACCTGAGGGCAGAGGAACGTGAGTGATGAAGTCATTTGTCGCTGACCCGGGAGGCTCTTGTCTTCTGCTGTAGCATCTATGGCTGGCTAACTTGTTGACTTGCAAGCAGGGTAAGACCTCAGACCCTTCACAGTTCTTGACAGGAACTTTTTTATGCCTTAGTTTCCCTACCTGTACAATGGAGAGAGGGCACTTACCTCAGAGAGATAGTGTGCGAATGAGGCTATACATATACGGAGCCCAGCCTGAGTCTCACAGCTGCCCTCTTCATCAGTATTTGGCGACTCCTTGCCAAACCAAGTGGCCTGCTCTCGGCTCAGTTCTCACTGGTGGCTCTGAGGCACAGACACCAGAGATCATCTCTTCCTCTCAAAGTTCCTAAACCCCAACCTTCACTAAGCTGGTTTTCTTCCTACGTTTTTGTAGAAAGGCAGTCCTAAATTGCCACAAATATACTAATTAACAATACAAAAACAGAAAAGCAGTTTTTCTAAGGTGGAAGAAGGGAAAGGCAGTAATTGGAATGAGGGGGTAGGGAGAGTCATGAGATCTTCATCACAAGGAGGTAAGAGTTATTAAGAAACCTATAAAGCATCAAGTCACTCAGTTATGTAGATGGCCGATATTTAGTATTCTCCAATGTCTAATCTTAATGACATATTTGCAAAGAACTACTGGAAAAAAAAAACAGGGGAAATGGTGGCTGTAAGGTATGTGGCCAAGTGACCATTGAAACAGTGTGGAATAATAGAAAAAAGACACTTTTACTGTCAACAGATCCCAGGATTCCAAGCCCCAGATTTTAGTAGTTGTGAGAACTTGGGTGAGTTACTTAAGCTCAAAAAACTTTGGTTTTTTGACCAAAAAACGGTAAGACTCTCTACCTTGAAGAGCTGTTGATGGGTTATCTCAGTAAATTGTATCTATGATGGGTATGACTATTCCATGAGTAAAATACTGAAGAAATTAATATGAGGGCCAAGGGACATTTCTGAATATTTCCCAAAAGGATATAACATCTCGTGATGTGGTACCAGGCTTGCCAAATACAACCTTATAGAACACCGGGCTTGCCAAATACAGCTTTATAGAACTTAAACTCTGGCTTCATAAAAACCCAAGGTACAGAAAATTCCTTAGTAGCAGACTTCTGTATCTCTGCGTCAGTCTCAGATAACCACTTACTTGATTGAACTTACCTGTAACAAAAAATCAAAGAGAGCCATCTTGGACCATTCGTGGTGATGTATTTCAGTACAGCCCCATTCAGGTTTGGGTATGCGGCCATTCTGCCAGCACTTCTGTTTCAGCAACTGCTGATAAGTTCCCCAGGTGAGCTTAACAGAAGAGTGGGTCTCATTACTCGTTGGAGATAAAGATGAGTCCCAGAGAATGAAAGGACATGGGCGGCCATCTATAGAATCCAAAAACACACAAAAAAAACCACTTTTAGAATGTTACTGACTCAGTGTGTACTCTTGGATGTCATTCAGTCTTTCACAGCTTCACACTCTCATCTGTCACATGTGAGAGTTTGATTAGATGACATTTATGATCACTTTCCCTTCTGAATAGTTACTATTTTTATACCTCAGTGATGCTTCCTGATAGGAGTCTTATAAGATGGAAAGTTATTGTTAGACAAGGAAAGAAAAGTTTTTTTTAAACAAGATACTTTATAGATGTGGCAGGAACAGGCCACTAACCACCAATAACTACGTCCTCTGGTTAATGTGGTTTTATTCCACATCTAAAAGCAGCCACCATGACAAAGGAAAGAATCCAGACATTTATAATTATCTATTCAGTGTCTGAGTGGAGTAGCTCTCTATTTGTAATAACAACTGTCTGATTTTCTGAGGCCATATTATGATGTCAGGAAGAAAAAGAATTTTTAGAAGTTGCAAATTTAAAAGTGAAATTGTATGTCTCACACCAGTCACTATAATCTCCAAAGAAAGAAAAAGGAAGCAAGAGGGGTTTTTTTTGTTTTGTTTTGTTTTTTTCTGATAGAAACAACAGCACTCCTGGTAATGGCTCATTTATTCACATGAAACCTCACAAAGTGTATTTAAGCAAATGTCATTTCTTCAACTTCCTGTGCATAGAATATTTTTTCAAAAAACTCTGTCACTCCAATGTTTTTGTCTCATTCTTGATCGTTTAGAAATTTCATTGGTGAACTGTACATTAAATGACACTGTAAGCTTAAAGCCAAAGCATCCCTCTCAAGCTCCCATTTCTGTCAAATAAAGTCACTGAAAGATGATGAAGAGCAGCTTTGCTTGTAACTTAAAAATCAGAATGATCTCTTGGGGAAAAAAAAAACAAAAAACGACTAAGTCACAAAGGTCTGAAAAATCCCATTTAACTCATTCTTAACAGGCCTGGGCATTCGAATGCTCTGAAACTGTGGCTGGAATGTCAAGACACATCACAGGGATTTTTAAAGCTCTTTCAAATGAACTGAGAGGTTCTCAATCTATAACTGTTTTTTGTTAAAGACTTTTATTTTCCCACCTTGCTTATTTGCCTTCATGTAGAGCTCTAATCTCTGGTCTTTAATGCAAGGACAGTCACTCCTCTAACCACTCCTGAATGTGGTGTTACAATGACCTTAATAATATTAATAACATTCACTTACTCATTCTAATCACCTACATTCCAGTTTCGTTCAAAAGAAAAATCTTTCTCCTTTTAGCCTTGCAATTGAGGCCAGGGCCAGTAGCAAGTGCTTTAGATTGTGGAAAATAGGCCACAGTCACTGATGTACAATTGAAAGAAAAATAGACAAAGAAACATGAACCATATATAAAGAACTTAATTGTTATCTCTCTCCTTTTTACTTCCTTTTACTGTACTAAATGATTTGGGGCTGCTGGGACCCAATTATCTTCTTAGGTATTAGATAAATATAATGTTAAATGGATATGCTCTAAATACTATGCCAATTTAAAAAATAATAATAATAAATTCTAGGTAAAAACAGGCCATCATGCAGTGGGAGACACACATAAACCAGTGTAACCAAATACGTGTAAGAGACACAACACAGCTTTCAAAGATATGGGCACTTCAGACTTCTAAATATCAACACCAAGAGGCTCTATCACTCAGTGCCTTTGGAACAAACTGATACACAGCTAGCACTTTGCATTCTCAGGGCTGGGAAGTATTCAAAGGGAGTTGAAAAACACTGAAATTCAACAACACAAATCAATACACAAGACAGACAAAGCGCCAGTTTCCTCAGTACACAAGGCCCTCAGATAAATGAGGAAATTATGCACATAAACAATTGAAACAGTTAACTTCTGTGCTGTTTTTCCTTCCCTTTAGAAACATTTGTTTCATATTTTAAAAGTAATTAAGAGTAAATCTACTCATTTTAGGAAATTTAGAATAACATTAAAATGTATAGCTAAAAGATGACATGATACTATATATAGGAAACACTGAAGTCTCCACCAAAAAAACTATTGGAACTAATAAATGAATTCAGTAAAGTTGCAGGATATAAGATTAATATACAGATATCTGTTGCTTTTCTATACACTGAAAATGAACTCTCAGAAAGAGAAATTAAGGAAACAATCACATTTACAATCATATACAAAAGAATAAAATATCTAGGAATAAACTTAACAAAAGAGGTAAAAGACCTATTTGCTGAAAACTATAAAACATTGATGAAGGAATTTGGAAATTATACAAAGAAATGGAAAGATATCCCATGCTCTTGGATTGGAAGAATTAATATTGTTAAAATGGCCATACTACCCAAAGTCATCTACAGATTTAATGCAATCTCTATCAAAATACCCATGATACTTTTCACCGAACTAGAACAAATAATCTCTTTCTTTCACACATGAAAAAGTAAATTGTTTTTAGAAGTTTAAGGAGTAGAGCTTACGGTTAGAGTTCGGACTCTAGAACCCAACAGACCTTTTGAATTCTGATCCTACTACCTCTTAGCTTTGTAACATTGGACAAGTTATATAACCTTTTCAAACCTCACTTTCATCCTCTGTAAAGTGTGGGCAATACTGTACCTTCCAAAACAAACTTTGTTAAACAGGATCATGCGTTTAAAGTCTCAGTCTGGTGCCTAACATATATGCATATCCTGCAAAGGTTTCGCTATGACTATTTTTATATGCATGCATTATACAATCACATAATTCATCAGCCTTCTAGCCCTTATTTGTTTATTGAATATCTACTATGTCTCAAGCACTATTCTAGGCCTAAAGCATACAGACATACAGGCCAGGTTTTCAGTTGTTTGTTGTTCTGTGGGATTTTTTGCTTTCATAGAGTTTACATTTCCAGCAGGGAAAAGAGGCAAAAATTACACAAGGGAAATAAACTATTTGGCATCACCTTATGTATATAGTTTATCATAATTGCTTCACTAAACGTTACATTGCAAACATTTCTCTTACACTTAAATATTCTCAAACAGTGTCACTTTAACTGTGATACAATAATGTAGCCCAGTGGTCAGCAAGCTTGGTCAAGGGCAGACAGTGAGTATTCCAGGCTTTGAGGGCCATACAATGTCAACTAGCAAGTACGCAAGCCCATTGTGATACGAAAGCAGTCAAAACAATATATAAACAAATGGTGGTGACTCTGTTCCAATAAAACTGTATTACACACCCTGAAATTTACATTTTTTTGTAATTTTCAGGTGTCATAGTGGTATTATTGTTATTTGGATATTTTTTTCAACCATTTAAAATTGTGGAAGCCATTGGTAGCTCAGGGACCACACAAAACAGGCTGTGGGCTATCCCTCACCCACAGACTGTAGTGAATCAATCCCTAATCTAGTGTATGGGTTTATTGTGTTTCATTTACCGTTTCTCTCCTTTAAATCTTAAAATTTTTTTTTGAATGATACATTTTCTATTAAATGGTTCTCAAACTGCCACAGGGAGCTTTCAACGAATAGGAATAATTGGTTTGCAGTTAACATTCTCTGTTTTCCTCCACATGCATCTCCCCTCAGCAAAATATTCTGACTGCCACAGAAACACATTCTGTCCTGCCATGCCTGGCGTCAGTCACCGTAGGGAAAAGGGGTTTCCGGAGAGCAGGGTAAGAGGCAGTTCTCAGGCTGAGCCAGGCTGGATGCCCTTCCTTCCAGCCAGCAGGTCTTGCAGAGTATTGGTGCACGTTGCCCAGGCTGGTTCCAGAGCTCAGAGCTGTGAGCAACTACTGTGAGGTGCATTCTACTTCGTATAAAATACGGCTGATAACAGAATTAAGTGAACCTTGATAGATCTGAAGGGATGACAGAAAAATACCCTTTGAAAGCAGCAAACACGTTAAAGCAACTTACCTGAAGTGTTTCAGAGATGAAGGGCATTCATCTCTTTGCATTTGGGTTTGTCAGAATGAGGCAGTACTGGGCTCTCTAGAGAAATCTTAACGGTGAAGAGAGAAAATTCTACCTGTCAGAATGGGGAGGAAGTGGGGTTTTTAAAGAAATGTGGGTGTTCATGTGAATTAACGGTTATATAGCTGTCTTTTAAAAAACTGAGACTTGCCAGTAAAACTTATTTTTTCCAAAATCTGAATATCTCCCCTGAATTTTGATGTTCTCCCAAGTCGTTCTTTATTCAAAAGCACAAAGAAGACATTCTTGTGAGAAGACGAACGTGAAAATCCACTAAGAATGAATACTATACACAACCTCCTCTGCCCTCGTTCATCAGGTGCCCTTCACCTTGAACCAGTGACCAGTTTTGTTGAACTACAGGGGGAGTTATCAGTGAATGTCTGCATCTATCACTGGGAAAAAAACAAGTGAAAACATCCTGAGTTCTGAAATCACAAGCCTATTTTATCACATGGGCCAAGTTCCAAGCTTCTCGTGAACAAGACAAAAAAGAAAGTGACAGTTCAGCTCAGAGCCCTTCATTAAAAATAACTCCAAAACCCTCTAAAGAAAACAAAGACCAGCCAAATCTTGAGGCTCACCTTTGTTATGGGAAACAAATTCTGTCATGTTCCACTGCAACTTCCAGTGCATTGAAGGAAAACTTGAATGTTGCAGCTCTCTAGTCTAAAAGCAAGTGTTGATGTGGGCGTACCTCCACTGAGAAGGTAGCAGGTGTCTGGTTCTTAACGATCCCTTAAGTACTATCTGCTCTATTTTTCTACTGTGCCTCTCACAGTAGGGTTCTGGCGATTAAAAGTGGAAAAAGAAGGTAAGATCTCTTGGCTTAGGGATGGCGAATGCGGACAAGTCAGTCAATGTGAGGGAGGGTGAAATAGGATTCTGTGACAGTCTGGCCGGGGCGGAAATGTGGAGGATAAGATGCTCAGGCTTTTAAACATTGTTAATTCACTTATTCCCAAAGCACATATTTACCATTGTCCCCCAATATCTGGACGCATTTG